TACTACTACTACTACTACTACTATGGCGTAACAGCCCAAAATCGAGCCCTAGCCTTAGGAGTCATTAATTAAATTAAATATTGATATCAGGACACAGTAAATATCTAATATCGACGACAAAGATTTACTTGTTTGTAGCTAATGTATTGGTACTTTGCTTTGTAATTTAAGCCTACGTCTCACTTCGAAACGTAGTCTCTTTGAAAGATATTCTGAAACTAAAATTTATTAATGAATTTGTTTTATTTGCTGGTGAAATCTGTCTCCTCACACTCACACGCGTGCGAAAGTGTCCAAGTTACGTCCATGAAGAGTTTTAATCTTCTCGTACAGATCCTGTACCGCTGGTGAGAAAACACAGAGCTACTTCACTTTATTTTGCTAATATTAATATAACATTAAATGACACACTACTGATTAAATAATTATTTCCTCTGTATGTATCCTTCGTGTCTTCCAACGTCTCATTTTACAAACATTATAAGATAATAACCTTGAACGCGGAACTAAACTATGAATTAAAGACATCAGAACAATTTGAAATTCTACTTTGTGGGAATGAATCATGCATTTATAATACGCATTCCATTAGAAAACTCCTTCCTGTTTCTCAGTGGTTATTTGGTTCTATAAAATATAAGGTATTGAAAATGTTGAATGATACTGATTGCAATCGCTTATTAAATCTCTCACCCATTATAAAATTGTCTTTCTAAAAAGTATATATAATAAGCTCTGAGTATAAGACTATGCGGAAGAGAAATTTTTCTGGGCAACGCTGTAGCATATTAAATTGATCTGCTATCATACACCTCGAAAGAAATGAAAGTTAAAGACCTGCTTCACTTTTTAGAAAATCATGTCTTAGAAACATTACGGTGTGCTAAAACTGGAAATGCTAGGCGTACTTTCAATAAAATTTGTACGGCAACGTCCATTTCGCTGTACTTGGTTGCATTCCTGATCGATCCACATGCAATGTACGACGAATATCATTGCCGAGTGGTTAGCACTCCCTCTTCATATTCGAGAAGTCCCGGGTTTAATTTCTACTCGGAGGAAGATTATTTATTCAGACTCATATTTTTTGTGGATTTACTCTCAGTCCCTGAAGTGAAAAGTAATTCTAGTAGAGAGAACTTCCTTCCAAAATCTTTTTGAATGTATCGTTTACAAGCTATTCTACTATTAGACTAACATAAAATGAAATAAAGAGCTGAAAGGCCAGAAAGGCAGATAAAGTAAGAACCCATAGCGGGCAAATATGCCTATGCAGTAGTAAGCCTAATATTAGTGAGTGTAATGTTAAAATAATATTGAATTCAAATGCCTAGTGTTCACTGTGATTATACGATACGAATTCGCATGTGGATTCCCGAATTATAACTGTACAATGCTGAACATAATCGCGAAATTGGAAAGAATATTAGAAGCTGGAAAACACAATAGTAATAAAAATGCCATATTTTGAAACTAGACAACTGAAATCTAGCATGGTTTGCCAACTCCCACATGCAAGGATTATGCATGGTCCTCTAGGTTATGACGCCACGTAGGGGTTTCCCGATCGTTTCAGAGAAACGTTGACAATCACGTACAAGATAACACTAGGTGGCAACTCGTAAGATCGAAATCCTCATTTATATCGCATCACCGTAAGAATATCGTGTTTACCAAGTATAATCTTATACACAGAGTAGGTGGGTGGATACATATTTAATTCTTTTGTAGATATCTAACGAAATCTGGAATAAATATTTACATTTTTGTTTTAAAAGTGTCCTTTCTACAGATGTTACAGCGATAGAAATTTTAACATTTAAAAAGAGTATTTACATATTAAAAGTATTAAAATCGTGTCTTATTAATTAACTTTCACCTGAAGTCGAAACAAGCTATATGCTAATCAGAGGCGCAGAGTCGGTCCATTTGTTAAACACCTCAGCTTCTCTAACAGTCTTGTTACATATGCCATTTCCTCCTTGTCTCTAATAAAGCCACAGTCTCCCATTTGCACAGTTAACAAACTGAATGTTTCGAGAACCGCTCACAACAACAACAACAATAAAATTGCATTACTCATCTGAACACGTTCCTAATTATGTGTGTCACGACCCTTATTAATGATGTGATAGGCCAATGTCCTACGTGTGTGGAATGTTTCCAGACGTCTGAACATAATAATTTCTCTTCATTGAGCTCCAGGTTTTCAGAGGTCATAGGTTATGCACATATAAGCAAAGACTACTACACATCTGGCACATTAGTCAAGGAATAGAGATTTCGCTTATGAATGTTTATATGTTCTAATATGCAAGAGAGTGAAGGTTGCAGAAACTATAAATTAATTCAGTCAACAATTCTTGTACACAATCTCTACCACATTACATTAAATTTTTCGAATGTAAGGTCGCTCCATCGACAAACTTGTACATTTAACCACAAAATTTCATACACATATAATTAGTATGTTTGTTAAGTTATCTATCTATCCACAACACTTCACAGGAAATGATATTATTTCGGACCTGCTTCAGAAATTCGCAATATATTATATAGACACTACTGATTGCATAAAAATGGAAATTACGACAAATCAAATAATCTCCTGATGGAAAATTACAGAATACAAACAGTAAACATTCATTAATATTCTATTCCTTGATAAAGTAAGGAAAAACAGTTAAAATCGTTTCTATACATTAACAGTATACATAGCATCTAATTTTTAAATACAAACCAGCCGCACTTAATAAATTTTAATAGTTTTTCTAATGGAGATCCAACAACAACGTGTATGGATGGAATGCATTTTTGTTTATTAAACCCCTTATCTGATAATTCGAGGTAGCATTACCCTTGCCCCACGTCAGAATATCGTAAAAATAAAATGTATGTTACGCCATGTTACATACTACGGATGACGTGGATATTTGTGAATTTCATCGAGACCTTTACACACTTCCTTAAGACAGAAGACCAGTGGATACAGAACTGGTGAAAGTGTCGGCCATGCACATCGAACTGAAAATTGCTCATTTCCAAACTCCTTCCATCATAAATCATAAATGCATCAACTGAAACATAAACTCTGGTCTGCTGAATAAGTTAATTGCTTAAAGAGGCCTTTGCATAAAGTTACGCATGTCCATCGCGTCCGATGTAATTTTACTCGGTAGAAAAGTGGCAGACGTTTCTACGACACAGAGCTGAAAATAGCACGTGTTATAGAATACCAAGTAGAAATTTTCTACTTAAGATTTTCCCGAGGTGATTACCATGCTAATGTACCTGTCGTAAAGGGAATATAATCTGAGAGGCGTTGCCTTCGTAATTCATGGAGAGGACAGACCAGCCTCGTGGTATTTCAAGCATGGTTTATGTTCTAGCTAATGAGTCTGTCACTCTAACCTCAATTTTGTTGTCCTAGCTTTCATTATTTCGTTCCAAGAACTCAAAAACTGTATTCGGTGGTAATACTTCGGCACACGCAATACACAGATAATTACTGGCAGTGTGTAATGATTTCAGTCCAGCTGGATGCAGGGTATCTCCTGCCAAGTTTGATTGCTCTTACCTCTACTAAACGTCTGAGTAGCTTACTAAGTAACTCCATAGAACGTCTTCTTAAGAAGCTGACAGTCCTTCATATGGTTAAGAAACTTAAAGATTCTTCTACTGGACGTCATACTGAAACATTATAATTTATTTTGTACATTATTCATTATTTATTTTGATTCCTCTTTGTTATATCCTCTTATACAAGTCCAGTCCCTCAAGTGATCTCCTCCCTCGAATTTTTCGACTAAAATTTTGTATTCGTTTCTCATCATTCCAAGCTACAAGCCCTGGGCACCCAGCAATATTTTATTTTATGACTGTGTTAATATTTGGTAAAGAGTAAAGATTATTAAACAAATATTAATATTATTACCATCTACTAAATTCTTTTATTTTAAGAACCATATCACAGGGCTAAATGTTTTGAATTTTATACGTCATCTTAGGCCATAAAATGGATATATGAGTTGCTAATTGCATGCCGGAAACCCTAAATCCTCATGAATTTCCCCGTAATAAAAGTACCATGGTGCGTTTGTGATGAAGCACGTGGAATGCGACACGAGTAGCGGACCTCCCGATCGGGCATGCACAGTCGATAATTGGGTAAAATGCAGAACACAGTTTATGATACATCCTATTTCCTTATTGTTGTGATGTGGTGAGGCTACGTCTCAGTGGAAATAGGCCTCTAGCTCCACTCATTCCGCCCCTCAGATAATATATGAGTGAATTCGAAGCAGCATTGGCGTGATGACAGCAGAAAACCGGAGGACCCGAAGACAAAGCTGACGCAGCACCACAAATCACACTGGTGTGCCCCAGAAGCGAAACCGGCCCTTCGAAGTGAGAAGCCAGTGACTAACTGCCTGAGTTACGGCACGGCTACATCTGTACCTTCGCTGTAGGCTACGGCTCGTCTTGATCTACAGAAGCATGCGACCTAAACTTTCTCTACATCCTAGTTTTATGAGAGTGAATTTTTTCTACAGCAGAGTTTTTCAATCATTTTGATCTAGCGCCAAAGCAGCAAACAGAATAAGCCATAAAAAAATAAAATAGTTCTACGTGTTTGGCATGAAAGGAAAATATTATGCATAAAAGAAGAAAATGTTATGATGACATTAAATTGGCAGATTGGAATAAATATATAAATAATTTCGTAGTAGAGTAATAGTAGAGACAAAATTAAAAAAAAAACTAACGTAAAGTAATGGGATTTAGTATTATTACAAAACAAATAATAAACACATTGAAAGGGACAGAATACAAAGTTTTTTGTATAAGAAAATACATCTACACCGAATTGGAACGAGAAACAAAATAAAGTTCATAAAAAGGAAGATTACGATTAATTGATTGCCAGGATTATTTCTTGACGGGAATAGAATCAGTAACAGAAGGAGAAAGCAGTCAAGAACGCTATCTACAAAAATTCCACATGCGTGATGTTACCACTAAGGTTCGATCTCATTGCCACCTGTCGGAAGTTGCAGGTGTAAAGGTCTTAAGTCTTGTATTGTTCACTTAGCGAACACAAACTTTAATTAACTTGTCTTGTTTTTTATCCATAATGAAATACCTATTTATTTCACCATCAATATCGTTTATAAATAGCATAATTAATTATACTTATCGAGAAGTTTGAATGCGATGATAATGATGATGACGATAATGTCCCACTTATGCAATTTCAGAATATAAATTTAAAGAAAAAACATCTTAACAAAGCCCAACCCCTTCAGGTTTCACTTTTGCGTAACATATTAGGGGAAGAAACAAAGTTATATTTTTACAACCGGACTAAATGGCGAGTTCAACATCACGTCCCTTACAATGTGTCCCGTACTTGTTAATACAGAGAGAGCAGGAACAAAAGTTTTACTTATCTCTCTCCCCCCCTCTTCAGAGTGTCAGAGTAAAAACTGTATCAGGCCAACTAGAAGTGGCTGGGAGATTTGAGGGCGGTCGCAAATTCGTTAGCGAGATGGCCCAAGGCAAGGTGAAATCTTGTTAGTCTGCTGTTCTTCGCCTGTCCTGACGCTGGTGTACTCAAAGGAACCTGCTATCCGCAAATGCTAACTGTTGTTCATCTATACGTCCACATGAAAACATCCTCCTCCGATAATATTAAAATAATTACTGTCAGAATAATTTTGTTAACCCTCATCATGCTACGATCTTCAACAAACTAAACTGTGTCTATGTTTTCCCCTTCAAGCTGCAAATTGTTGACTTGAGGTAGTATCAGATTGCAAGGTACCTTTATTTTCATTCTTAAAACCACATACTAAGGACGACACAATAACCACCAATGAATAAAGAATCAAATTACCAATAGCTATCTAAATAAACTGGCTTTCATGAAGCTTTGTATGAATGATACGACAGTGGGTGTAATTTGAATACTGTATTTTAAATATCTTTGTTTAACGGTAGTATGTCCGTACAGACTTCCGGAGATACAAAAACTCCAAATAGCACATGTACGAGTTAGCGGTTGTTTCATATTTTGCATGTCCCGGATTTGATTCTCGACACGCAGGCCGGTAATTCTGATCGAGATTTTTCATAGTCTTTTCTCATTATCTCCAGATACATGTTGAAAACTAATCACAATAGTTTTTCCCGCATCCTTTCCAATCCATTACTGACAACCACTCTTCCAGTTCACAAAACAGCCAATGAAACATTTCGTCTTTTGAAAATATGGTATACGTTCGTAGGTAAGGTGATTTATAAAAATAATATTAACATTACAGTAGGTGGAATAAATTAGTTATTTATTTATATTTGTTTATCTTTAAAAATGATTATAATGCAAATAAATAGCAATTTCTCGCATCATGCAACTATAACCGTTCCGCTCTGGGTAAAATAAACTTACATATATTAAAATACTCAACTCACATGCAGCTAGAAGGCAATTACGAATTACAACAAGAAGGGACGACAGCTTCCCACATGCAGTCCCTACTCAGAGAAAAAAAAAGAGAAACCGCTTGTGAAAACCAGACTTCGGAAGTCAAGTGACCGGCCACATAGACATTCAATACTTGACTGTGATGCTACAAGCAGTTGAAATCATCCGCGGAACAAACAGGCAGAGAACCAAGGGAACATTTCAGTGCAGTCCATCGTATAACGCTTCTCGTGTTATCGTAACGCTGTTAAGCCGCTATCTGTAACGCGTGCAGTTTCTATAGACAAGTAAAACTCAGACATTTATTGAACGGAAAGTTCGGCTGCTAATTAACTAAAATAATATTCCTACAGTAAAAATTCTCCCACAGCGAGTGAATTTTCTTGAGGACGTCATCGCAACGACTTGAAGAAATGAAAATTCTACAGGTGAGTCTAAAAGCCATAAGCAGAGAAATGGGATGGTTTTTCTTTTACTAAATGATACTGGAACATGACAAAGCATAGTATAAGATTTGTTTTAACTCTATTAAATCTGTGCACTCAGTTCACTTCTTACAATTTCATTTTACTTCTAAAATTGTCTAAATATTTCAGAGACGTCAGACTAGTTTGCATAATTTCAACGATCGTAGGGAATATTATAATTTAGCCCATGTATTCTTACGCATATCATTACTCTACAGCAATCAAAATTAGTTGTTATCTTTAATTAAATTCCGTTTATAAAACCATTTCTGAAAAACTTGTTTATCTTCTCACGAATTTAGGTTGAGACATTACGAAATAAATTCGTATAAATCATCATCAGCAACATAACTGCACAACGAAGGCAAAGGCTGTCAGGCCGTATTGATAAGGGACGTAAAATAGAGTGGACTAATTCTCTGAATTGCATGAAGGGTCCACTATCCAAATATTTTTGAAATTAGGAATAAAATCACTTAGTATAGAGCCAAATGACTGCACCGCGCAGTAATCCATAAGACCCCATCTACAACATTACGAATTATCTATCTCTGAAATACAACATTCTTCCACGTGTTTAACACATTGCCATAATTTATCAATTAGTGTGAGCTAATATTATCATCTAATCCACTTTTTATTACGGAGGGCACCATCAATACAAACATGAAGTCTATATTTCACTCCACATTAACTCAATTAAATTGGGATCATACTTAAAATAGGCCACAAGTTCTTCCTGTAACACCCCTCAAAATTCATTAATCACAATTAGCTCCACTGATTAGAGAGAGGGACTCAGTCTTCAAGCCAGTATCGCATCACTACAGTAAACTGATATGAGATGGCTGTTAAAAGAAACAAAAACAAAAACAAAAGACAAAGAAGCTGGTGCAGATCTGAATATAACCTGTCATTCCTGCCACAGAGACCTCGTTTGAAACCAGTTCGGAAAGTGAAACTGTCTCATTAACTTAAAAGTATGATGTCGAATTTAAAAGTCATTATGATACCTGTTTTATTTATGTTAATCAAAATTACCCGATTTTTTTTTATTACAGACACTCTCGCTTCTTCTGATTCTCACTGGATCAACCCTACTTACGAAAGTAGCATCGGCCAAGAAAGATGCCAGTGAAATTAAATTCGTACCGACTGTGCCGCCTGAAGACATCAAACCGTCTCCTCGTGTCGGTCGCCAGTCATATGCGCTGTATACTCCACCAAGCAACACAAAGTATCAATATCACTTCGTCCCAGTGACTGAATTAGCCAATGGAGAAGCAGTATCAGAACAGGATGGGCATGACGCTCATTACATAACCCAAGTACAAGAACATTATAAAAACCTTCCGCAGAAACAACAGCAACAAATTTTAGCTGCCTTTCGAGCATCCAAACAGCCAAAATCTCCCGTGTACCACGCAACGCCTCTGGAGCCATATGGCGCTTTGCTGAAGCACGCGTCAGGAGGCCAGTATGACCAGAAGACAGTTCTGGTGACGCCAAAACCAATTTCTGAACAGCTTCATGGTGACCAGTCTGGAGACGAACATTCATCTGGAGGTCACGCTTACTACACAAATAGCAATAACGCTGTGGGGACGCACACAGAGGCACTAATTCCGGAGTCGAAATATGTACCTCTTGTGCACAAGTCTATCCACCAGCAATACGACGACGAACACGAGGAGCCCAAAAACGTAAGCCAAACAAACAGTCAGACTTTGGGGGGGGGGGGGGGGGGGGAATTTTAGTCGGAAAGCCTGAAGGGAAGCGACCATTTGGGAGACATAGAAGTAGATGGGAGGATAATATTAAATAGGACGTGAAAGCACACACTGGATGAAAAGTTAAGTTAGGACCCAAGGGCAGGATCTTGAGAACAAGGTAATGAACCTTTGGGTTCAACGAGAGGCGGCTTATTTTTTGACTGGTTGAATAACTATCAGCTTGTTACAAGCAACTTTTCTACATTGAGTCAGTGTAGCAGAAAAGCCTATATTAGCAGATTCCCTGAGGTTATATAATAGCTTGTATAAAGTAATTATTTAGGTATATATTTTAGAATAGAAAATACTATTACGAACATAACATCGGATTTAATCCTATAAGATAAGAAACTCTTACGGCCCAATTATAGATTATCTTATCGAAACCAAACAAACAAGTCACTTAAAAGAGAAATCTCTTGAAAGGCATATAACAATAAAATCCGTCTGTTCTATAAAGAAAACGGTGATTACAGATTAACGTTTCTGTTTAGAATTGTTTCTGGCAGACCGACTTCTTTAAAAGTATTCAAAGTTCTCTGTACTTTCTCTTGGAGTTGGATACAAACCAAACTGTGGTGTTTATTGTTGTTCATTACGTTCCTAAACACTTGTGATTTCATTCCTAAAGAAAAATGTTAACAGTGAAACACGAACTTCTCTAGAACTCGTTTTAATACTGAGTATTCATTTACTCTCTATGTTCTGGTTTTAGAACAAGCCAGACCAGTCTACATATTCTTTAATTGTCCCATTAAGTAAAGAAGTAATTAACAGAAACGTGGATTTCACAACGCTGTTATCAGTCCTCACGTGTTTTTTCTATTGATTAATTAACTGCATCTCAGATTATTATTTTTAAACATAGTTATTCCTAATATTCACTATAAAGACATTAAAGTAATTCAAGTATTCGATTCTTTACAGAATATAATTGTAACGAAAACCTACTTAGAATCCGCTATTTGAATCTTACAACATGAAATTGGAATTTGAATCTAGCCTCACTGATTACGCCCCCTACCTGTTCAAGTAACAAATGTACAAGTCTCAACATTTGTATTTAAACATAATTTTATCCGAATATTGTAATCAAACAAGAGTATAAATAAGGTAAAAATCTTTATATTTCTTAAACCAGGTCAAAAGTAAAAATATCATAAAAATCTGAATTTCAAACCTACAATAAATGTAACTAATTAAGTCTACGGCAAAAGTTCTTGAGAAGCTGATAGTTACTTGGCTGGCAAAGACCATGTTCTTAGGTCGATTACGACAACGGACACACAGATAAAGGATCGCTTGTCACTCATTCTGACTAACTTATACTAATAAATCTTAAGCAGTACTTATAACACATTATGCTAAAAATTAAAATCATTATTTTTCTTTACTTAATTAAAGAATATAATACATTTAATGTAGTGACTGTAGAAGATTTGACAAACCAAAATGTCTACTACTTGTTTCAGTATGCTGCAAAGTACCAGTTTGGGTATCAGGTTCGAGACCCGAAACATGGCACATTTTTCGGTCACGCGGAAGCTCGTGATGGACATCATACTAAAGGTCACTATCACGTGTTGCTACCTGACGGGAGACTGCAAAACGTGCAATACTGGGCAGATCTGAGTGGCTACCATGCACAAGTCTCCTACAATACAGTAGCGAAACATGCAGCAGTCCAGTATCACTAATCGAATCTTCACACGGTTTCTAAAATTCTGTCCAGATTTGACCTTCTCACAGAGCTGAAGAAGATGTCGCTATTGAGTTGTAACGCAGTGCGAACTTGTGGGTGGATACTAACGTTTTGTAGAGCATATTACCTCCATCTGCAGCCTCGAATGTAGAGACTGTTTTTCAGAAACGTCGTTATCAACATAAAAAGTCCACAAGGCGTTACAATCCAAAAGACCAATATCGACGTCTCTCAGTACCTCATTACCAGCAGACACGTGTCACAAAGATGACAATTCTGATTATAATCTTACGGCGTTACAACCAAGAAGACTAACATTGACATCTTCATCGCAGCGAGAACCACAAATATAATTTCATAAATCGTTATCATTTAGTATTAATTACAGCAGATAATTCTATTGGGATATGTGCAATACTGAGTCGATCTCAAGACAGTAATTTATCTACAAATGCAATTATATGAGTTAAACTTAGTCCCAACTGCATAATCAGATATATTTGTTATTTTGTTAAAATATATTCTAGCATTATGTAAGGTCTATTCAGTGTATCCATAGTCATTAAATGTGCAATATTGTTATATTTTATATAATTTTGTATTATTCTATGATATTGTTAATAAATGAAAGTTGTTGAAAAATGCTTCATAAACAAGAAACGTTTCTTCTTAACCTAAGTTTATATGAACCACAATTCTCTCGATAATTAGAATTTACAAAATTCGAATATTCATGCTGTTTTATACGATACCACATTATTCTTTCCTTACATCGGTCATCACTACACTTTCTGGGAATTAATAAATACTTTTTTTTGGAAATCATGATGCGTAAGGCGGGGTCTATAAATTGATAAATAGATCCTGATTGTTAACACCCTCCCATCTAGGTCCAGATATCCTTCATGAATTTCTCATCTTAACATACATACTCCTTGGTTTGAACACCAAAATAATATTTTGTAAAAAGCAAAAGTTACGAAGCTATTCAATGTGTAATATCTTAAATTTTCTGTCTTTCCTGTAATAAATATTGTCTTCAGTAGTTTATAATTAATTTGAATAAGTAACGTATGTCTTGATGGTGGTTGAAATACGTATAATTTTACTTCACTTCCTTTCATAATTTATTACGAAATCAGCATAGACGGTGTAATTAGGAGAACGTAAAAAACATTAAACCATGAATAATGGGTATTACTTTAAAATCTGACACTTTCATATCATCTACATCACGTTTCGGAAGATAGATACGCTGTCAAATACACGAAAATGAGGGCAATCACACACAATGCCTCGTGCCACTGCAGTCTTTCAAGTTCATACTTAGACTACATGAAATAAGTCTCGAAGCACGTGTCGTTGCTAATTCTCGTGGGTTGCAGCTCCTGCTCGGTTCTTGTATTTATCAGGTATAGACCATTCTCCTGGAAGAATTCTATACGAGATGGACATACCATCACGGACTGACCAAACGAAAGACAACCTAAGATTTAATAAATATGGATACTTATCTCAAAGTGAACAACTTTGGAATTGTGTACTGATCAAATATCACAGAACTGAGCTTTTACGATTAGCAAAATTTTTCGGCGTTTAATAATGAAAACAGAAAGAAGGCAGCGGCGTAGAACAAGGCACGTACAAAAAGTGTATAATTTCTATTGTCAACATTTTCTGAGTCTGGATACAGATGCCATCTATGGACAAATAAAGAACTACTTTCGATGCGCAGTTAAATTCTTCTGCTTTCTACACAAAAAAGACACTTCATCAAAACTACATTAATCTTCAGTCCTGAGGATGGAGTATCCGAAACGTCTTCTTGATTCAACACAAACAATACAGGTCTTGTATTGTAGTAAAAATAAGGAAAATGTAGGATTTGAAGGTCTCACGGCGGCCAATATGAACACGGCTGTCTCTTGGGTTGTGAAGCAGAGACGTCTGATAGATCTTTATCAGAATTCCAGAGATATTTGCTGCCTCCATTATCGCCCTGATAATGGAAGCAATAAGTACCTGTGAAACATTGGTAAGAAAGTATAAAACTGAAGGTAATTTTAGTTGTATAAGGTTTTGTAGAGAACATTAATTCTGTTATAACTTTCAGATTAAAGAATATTTAAGCAGATCTTCCTAGTAGAGTAGTTTCAAGCAGTTTGCAAGGCACCGACACCTCTCTCTTTCGGTGTAGAAGGTTTTTCTCTACGAACTCTACGGGCGGTAAATTAGTGACTTTTTACTCGGTGGAGCTGAACGGAAAATACAGTTCTCGACATGCTAAGTCGGGATGTAATCTGGTGACTCAGACAACTTACAGCTCAAAGATGGCTCATTAAACGTCTTAACAAACTAATCTTTGATGATTTACTAGCAATATAAAGAGTCTCAACATCTTTCTTATAGTTAAATCGCGACGGATATGGAAGGTATAGATCACGTCTCACTCCTATCATCTCACCATTTCGTTCCAACAAATCTGTATTAAAAAATAACAAGATGAGCTAAGCTTGGCGTTGAAGAAATGTAAATTGATATTGGCAGATTATTTAATCCTTTCACACTTTTCCGTACCTTGTACCTGCACGAAAAGGGGCAAATTGTGAAGGGGGATGCCAAACTCACGTGAAATACAAAATAATAGTGCAACACGCTACTCCATTTATAAATGCAGACAGTGAATTTAATACATGAGTTGGTGTTATCGGAAGAACTCTGACTGAATGTGTGTGAGAATACGAAGAATATCTGGACCTAAGAGAGATAAATTGAAAGAAGACTACAGAAAACTGGATAATGATGAGATTCTCAAGATTTAAGTATTATTACGATGATTAAATCAAGATGTACGAGATAAAGAGGACATTAGTACTCATAAAGAAAATTAAAATTCATACCGGTACAACATTCTAGTAGGGAAACTTGAAGGAAAGATACCATTTGTAAGATATTTGCATAGATGGGATGATAATATTAAAATGAATCTTAGGGAAGTAAGGTGTGACGGGGTGGACTTATTTCAACTGGTTCAGGGTAGTGTCCAGTGTTGGTCTTGTGAATTTGATAATAAACTTTTAAATTCTATAAAGAGCAATGAGTTTTCTGACAAGGTAGGAACTACAGGCTTCTCAACGACTCCGTTCCATGGATTTAATTACTTGTTAGTTCCCGTGGTCAACACAGACGAATGAGATGGACGCTCCATGTAATACGCATCGGAAAGGTTCACATTCAATGCATACATAACGTTAGACGGAACACCGTAAGAGACGAGGCTATTTGGGAGACGTAAAAGTAAATCTTAAATAAATGCAGTGTTTGCCGTAAAGAAGATTTAATTGTTATAGGATTGTATAGAGAGATCGCTTATTTTCAAGACGGAAATTAATCTTTGCTTCCATAAAAGAAGACATCTTGATTAACTGAGCGAATATCGGCTTCGTAATGTTAGTCTGGTAGTTAGAGGACGTGTATATCCTCTGGTATAACCTTTCGGTATTCAGTTAAAATTTTCCAATAAATGTATCGCCTAGAAAATTCTAACAAACTTAAGAGGGATGTGCCGTGCGTTTATACAGAACGTCGGTGTTTGTCGGCTTTAAGGCGGACAATACAGAATGAAGTCGTACCTCTGCAGGAGGAAGCTAAAAAGGTTTATTCGCACTGGGCCAGTGAAATGAAAGCGAAAGTTTAACAATGTCAGTGATTACATGAAAAAGGATTCTACGCAACGGATATCCCAGAAAGTTACGTAATAATTAAATTGTTACTCTTTAAATACTTGGCCTTTTCTAAATTAATTTCTTCATTTTTTCTCCTCATTTATTATTCACTTTTGTTTTATTTTCACCCGTTCCTACACGTGTGACTCATTTCTCTTCACGTTGGCCGTCCTGAGAAGGCAAGCGACTTTATTACTGCATGTAGGAAGCATTTGCGACTCACTTCTCTGTTAAAATGGTCGTTTTCAAAAAGAACAAAGTGTTTATTGTGGTTATATAACAATCTTGAGAACCTGGTTCGGTAACGCACTCTACAAAAGACCGCAACAAAGGATGTTTCTGTCCTTAATACAGCAGTAATCATAACCTTTAATTGAGAAAAAAATGTGGCGATTTCCTTGAAGGTAAGACAACTGTAAAACAGAGAGCGTGTGACAAGAACAGCGAAGTTTGAATAACTTCCTCTATTTCCTAGTTGGTTATTATGAAACGTCAAAATTTACTACTGTCAGTGGTCGCTTTCCTGTACTGTCGCTATAAATTTCGCCGTACAGTTCATCATGTACGTAACATGCAGAAAGTTTTGTGGTTTTTGAAAGATTACACAATGCTTCGAAGCAAAATACAGGTTGCATGTAGTCTAAAAAAAAACAATTGATTTTACTTATGACTCCTGTGCATTTCCTCTGAAATGTAAACTTTTTATTATGAAGTGCCAAAATTATTGAAATTACGAAAATTGAATTAGTAAGTGGGGGACACAGGTTAAGTGTGTTGGCAGCAGTGATCTTAGGAGAATATTTGGACACGCGAATGAGAAAGTAACAGGATAATGAAACATAATGTACAATGAGGAGCTTCATAATCTGTAATCTTCACAAGATACTGTAAGCGTGAATTAATAGCGGAGAATGAGATGTATGCAAACAGGGGCGAGGTTAATAATCCATAAAAAATTTTAATAAGAAAAGGAATTACATAAAATGTCACTGAAATATTTCAGGATTTCTTGAATGACAGTAAGAAACTTTACAGCAACGCTGACATGGCCAATACCTTTATTAGCTTCTTAGAAAAGTGTTAGGCGTGAAGCCAAAAGGTCTTTCGTAAGTTTTCTCTGAAAGAGATTGGAAATAAGGCTACAAAAACAAGCTGCACGAACACAGATACATTGAGAATCCCAGAAGATTGTCAAAACTATTCGGAGCAGATAAGTTCGTGATGATAGTCAGAACAGAACTTATTGCGTTGTTCGTAATTTCACAACAAAAGACTCACAGTAGGTTGAACATAACTGACATTTAGACTTAAGTTCTGCTCTCAGGAGGCTGTGATTGATGAACAGTTTTGCACGATTTTGAAATTCGCTGCCGAAATTGCTTAACAATTGACCCAAGACGGTGGGTGGCGTGACACGGACACAAGAAAAGCAAAGATAACCCAACTGGATGAAGGTTACGAAGAGAACAGAAAAGTGACTAATGATATTTCGATTTATAATGCATAAATACGAACTTAAAAGAAGGAAACGATAATTATTAAGAAAACTGTTGAATCACTAAGAAAGAAGACAACTGAAGAGAAACGAAGTTAGAGGAAAATGTTAAAGAGGACAGCAACAAGAACGTGGATCTTGGAGAAATAATGCAGTAAGGTGTGGACAGGAATCATCTGGCCCAGGACAGAGACCGATAACGGGCTCTTGTGAGCACGGTAACGAACTTTTAAAGTCTATAAAAGTCTGGGAATTTCTTGATTAACTAAGCGTAATATCTATCAGTTTTTCAAAATGTCTCTGCTAGAAGGGCTAGTTTAGTTATCACTTAATAACTCAATTTAACTTAGCCCAACCCCACCGAACATAATTCAACGTAAACCAAGCTAAACTGAGAAAGAATACATACAGATTATTGAAATTCAACGATCCTCATTAGAGTGGATGAAAATGAGAAAATAAATTTTATTTTTCGAGTCGTAAGTCAGAATTAAAAGAGAGAGACAACGAAGTGCTTACCTCTCTGCAGGAAGACTCATGATTCCCTGCTGTTGCCATTACACCTGGAACTCGATGTCGTAATCTGAAAGAAAGTGACGCACATTACACTAGGCCAGTCTTTGTTACGAACTGCAACTGAAACTGCGAACCAGGGAAACCAGAGCAAAAGATTAATCCACTCATTACAGAATGCAAATGAGAACTACCTGAATCTACAAACTGTACGCTACACTTGTGTGTGAAAGCGACCAAATTCCTTCATTTGGACCGTGATTCCTTTCACTTACGTATTTGCTCTATAGACCAGAATAAATTATACTTTACTGACGGAAACTGGTTTAGATATTTTTTTTAAAACTCGCATTACATCATCGGAACATGAACAAATAAATTCTAGATTTATCCTGGCATAGTAACTAATTTACAGCCTTAATTTATCAAAATGCGTGTCATATTTCTTCAAAACAAAATGGATATTACAATTTATGCAGTAACGTCGTGGATTCCCTGAAAACCTTCAACGCCGTGAGAACTTCTGATCTCAGATGATTTTGCACAGAATCAATACCGTCTGAAGTACAATCCTTGCCACCACGGTATGGAGATGTAGAAGACGACCTCAGCTTCGTTCGAATGCGTTAAAGAAGCAGCTGCTATCAGTCGAGAAAGGTAGGCACGTAGCCAGTAACTCAGTACATGATGTAATTGTTCGGGAGCGCCTGGGCACGACAATCACGCGACAGAGATTTTTATTCAGTCTGGATTTTATTTTAGGAGTGTAACTTTTCCACACTGGAAGCTAAGCCAGGGCATTGTTCATCAAATTGTGGTGCATATTGATAATAAGAACGTTGGCATGGAGTAGGGGAGGCCTCGAACTATGCATCCTACGTTTGACATCTCCGCTAGTTTGTTGTTGTTGTTGTTGTTGTTGTTGTTGAATTTAGTCCAAGTTAATGGAATATCCTTACTGATGTTTTTCATGGTGCTACCCAGTCTCTCTAGGCGGAGACAAGCCGCAAAGAAACAACGGAGATTCCTTCAAAATCATTTAATACCGAAAATGAAGAAACACATCTTATTAAAAGATGTATAAGAACAATGTCTCAAAACCTATATGCTAGGAATCGTACGAATAGCTTAAATATAGTGCGCTAGCAGGTACGAGATCGTATGAAGTGAATTATTTTTTCTTATATTCTCAAGTCATTTTAATATTATCCTCCAATGTATGATTAGGATTTTGCAATTCGTCTTTAGCTCTTCAACATCTTGTATGAATATCTCACCCTATGCATGCTACACATTTCACCCATCTCAACTTAGTTTATTATATTCCGGGATACTCACCAGCCAGCCTTGGACACATATGAACACTATTGTACCCACTGACCTCGTTTGAACGAAATCTGTTATTAAAATGTGGGTTTGATGTATAACGATGCTTTGTAAGAGCTGGCTCTTACTTGAACTTCTGTTCTTCGTATTGAGAAACGCATTCATGCTCACGAAGGCTTAGGGATTCTACTGATTTGCATCCACTTTACGTGAAGAGCCGACTGCTAGATTTATCCATTCTTTTCCACACGCGTGACCGATCAAATTACACCATAAAATTACACTGTGATGAATCGAACTACAAACAAGCTGTATGAAAATCTCTGAGCACATGCCGCTCTTGTTTACAAATAGTTTTAATAACCACTCACACATAAATCTCTCAACATCGCTGTTGAGTGCTAACCAGTTAGGCCTCTTATTCCGGAGGTCCTGCGTTCAAATTTCGGCTCAGGGACCGGCTATCCTAATTGAGGTTCTTCCTCGATTTCCTTAGTTTGTCCAGACAAATGTCGGGATAGCACCTTAAATTAGGCTACAACCACTTCCTTTCATACGATCTCCTATTCGTGAAGAACTCTATAATCCGAAGCCATATAGCGTAAGCTAATGAACCTGTATTATCTTACGGGTGCATTAGGGTTTTATATATCTCCGACTAGCCACTTCTATTAGAGTGCTCTTTTTATGTATGACGTCTAGAGAAGGTACAAGTATTTCAGAATTTTTATATGTGTTACACAATTATTGTCACACAGAAGATAAATTAATTATTTTTTTGTTAAACTTAACAGCAGAGTTCTATAGGATCCAAATAGTATATCCTGTTACAGTCATTCCTATAGTTCCAAAGTTTAGCGACGTAATTTAAATATTCGTATTGTGCTGCCAAACATACAATCGTGTGAATCATCGCAGACATTCTGATTCTATTTTCGCGTTAAACTAGTGACGACAATCATTTAACAGATGTAAGTGACGAAGAGAGTGAAATATTAGCTCCTGATAAACAAGGAACTATGGTCTCAGTCACATCTTCACCACGACGCAATTAATCTAAACGAAGTTCCTGAATGAATGTATTTCTGCAACAAAACATTTCCGCTAACGAAGACTACAATTAACCCAGTGGTGTAAGCGAAACTGTATGTGCAGTCTACAGCATTGTAACAAATTATTAAGCCGCTCTCAGCCTACCTCCCCCCCCCCCCCCAATCTCTTTCAACCTCTTCTCTTTGTTATGCGTCATGCATTTCTTTTTCCTTCTTAAACAATAGCAGAAAATCTTCTATGCTTCTCTTCCGAAATGAGTGTAGATGGAAAAACGTGGTTAAGGCATATAAGTATAAAACGAAAAAGAAACTCTCGTTTTTAAGTCAGATCACATTTTACCTCCGCGACAGAACAGAGAATCTCTAACATGGGATACACAAAGGTAGGTCTAAGTGTAATACTAGACTTAACAAAAGGTTTTGATTTGCTTGTTTCAACGTATTTTAATTGAAATAATAACCAGTTTGTTGGTTCACATTCTTTGTTTGCTAACACAAGCTATTGATGTTCAACTGCGTACACTTTTACATACCAGTTTCAAGTAACACTCGTTTTTATTGTAATGGTGACAACTAGGCATAATATACGTACATGAAATCGTACTGTACCGATCAATCATTCAAATATCTCTGTCTTAACGAAGTTTTATGGCTAAAACTTCATTTTGCCATCACTCTGGTAAAATAATCTGTCATTGTCATCTCCGTCATTCGGAGCCTTAGACCGTGCCTGGTCAAAATATAGTTCCAGGATTGGATTCTAAGTATTTTTAAAATAAGCGTCTATGATAAAATATATAAAATTACCTAATCATAAATATGCAATCATCACTTGTCAAAATTGGTATCTGTGTGGAATCCGTACATCCATAAACGTAATAGGTCTTCTTGGAAATGTTAGCAACTAAACTTTGCAAAAATCTGCGTCTTAGATTCGCCACGTTTTTTGTCGTGTCGTCTGTCTGCATGTAATCCGTCGAAAATGACCGAACGAATTTTTATGGAATTTAATACTGAAAATTTTATAAAATCAGACAGCAATAATGCTTACTTTACATGAAGACCTAATACGTTTCTGCACGCAGTAGTGACTGAAGGGGTCATCACCAGCAATATGCGCACAAGTGGGGAATCCTGCGTGACAACGTCATTAAATAGCCAAGCACCATGATCAAGGAAAGGCCGCTGATCGCAGACAGCTCTGACGTCGCACCAGAATCATTATGCTACGCGTATATTTACTAACTCCTTCTTTGTCCATATGTATAAGGAATAATTAGTATATCTGTAATTTGCATACACATACTTTAACACTATTTTAGAATATGCATACATAATTCGGTTACCCTAAAATATGTGTTAATTCATATTTTGCACAGGTATTTTATACATGTTTATTAAGAATCCATTATCCTTCGAAGTTCAAACAAGGAAGGACGTGTTTCACAGAGACTGTGGAATCACTTGTACTTTCACCGAGCTGTTGTCAAATTCCCACGTCTAGGAGTTGTAATTTGAATTAAATAGTACTTACTCGCGTAACTACGAAAAGTGAATTAAAGTTTCTCTTCAAACTCTACGCTATTGTTAAATGTCTGATAAACTTGTTGTCCAGACAATGATGTACGTTCTTCTGGGATATTCGAAGAAGAAGAAGAAGAAGAATGACTGTCCCACGGTTCTGTGCCGAGGAGAACGTCGTATCATCTGATGGAAACAGACCTAGTTTCATCATTAAGTCTTCTGCAAAATTCGAATTTAATGTGAAACAATAAGTTGTACAAAGTACTTAATGACACATAAATTTGTTCAAATACTTAAATCTAGTGTAGAAAGACAACAGGAATTATGCGTACATATACCACACATACAGCACGACACTTTTTCTGTCGCTCCAAAGGAAGAACACGGTCTGAGGATATGTAAATGTGGCATAACGTGGCGTAGTCTATACATGTTTTCAAAATGCTGTATTAAAAATTTGCATTCGCCTTGCTGCTCGTTTATTGTCGAAAAAATATCCTGTGAAAGTAAACTAACACTTTGCACACTAGCTGTATTCTCTTCAATCTACGTATGAGAACGACAAAGCAGTCTGGACATTTCCTGCTTCCGTGTTACCAGAAGGTTCGACAAAGCAGTCTGCAGATTTCCTGCTTCCGTGTTACCAGAAGGTCAATTACCGTGTTCACAAAACCCCGCTACCTGTCGCTAAACGAAACTAGATTACGAGTTATGAAACTGAAGACTTGTGAGTTTACATGCATCAGTATTTCATTACCTCATTGTCCAATGAAAAGAATGTACAGAACTGTAAATAAGGAAGATAAAACAATGTCGTGTGTAGGTTCGTTCTGTTTACAAGAATCTTTCGGAGAAATCTTTCTCCATACGCTCAAGTTTAAGATCAAGACAAAGCTGAAACATCACATGCCTCCGTCACGCAACTCGGAATGGTGCAACAGAACATCAAATTCTAGCTGAAGTACATCCAGTGGATGTTTACGTTACGTCTTAGCAAACTGACTTCCGTGAGATAACAAAAACAAGTCCCTCTCGCGAGCAGGTTAGCTCAGCGGTAAAGCACTAACTTCTATTCGGAATGCATCAGACTGAAATATCATCTGGATTATTGTTTATCGGGACAAGGTTTCGTACATCTGCACAGTCTTAACAATCGAATAAAGAAGCCATGCTTTGAAGTAGAGGGATAACGAATTCATCTAGTTATAGTGAAGAATAGAAAAAAATGTCTTCCACTGGTGGGAATCGAACAGCGATATTCTAGTCCCAGGTGGCGACTGTACTGAGCTACGTATATGGCGAACCTGTTGGTGATACACCGATACAAATAAAATTATGAAGCAGCAGTGAACTTTTTATCCAATTCCCACGTGGCTGTCCTATTTTCTTTGTCTGTGTGTGTCAGGTTCTTGGCGCTATGTTTCTGATGGCCACTGTCCGAGGAGGCCACCTAGGTCAGTCCGGCGGGTATGGCGCTCCAGCGGTTTCGTCATACGGCGCCCCAGTCGGTGGTCCTGCATACTCATCGCCCAGCGGATACAGCGCAGGTTACAATGGCGGATCGTCACACACTGGACCAGGATACAGCTCGAGCGGACATGGGGGTTACGATGAACAGGTTGATACTGTACGCTTCTAATTGCAAGACACGTTCACTTTGACCGTGACAGATTTATTTCCAAGCTGTTCTGTTCCACACTTTAAGTTCGGCATTCATACAAACTCTGGCCACTTTGTAATAGTCTTCAGAATTAACTTTACACAGTCATCCTCAAATTCGGCGCTAAAATGTCTGCACACCAGTTGAGAAAGTGTCAATAAGTAACCCACTACATACACTTAAATATATGAGATAAAAGAGTCTGAGTTCATCGCTGAAGATCAATAATTTTACAGATATCGAAACATATTTTGGCGTCCAAGGTATTTGATGGTCGCTTATGTACATAATTCTGTATAAACTCTTTATTTTCTGATGCGGAATTCGTACCGGTTCTGATTAACAAGAAGCCTGAAATTTCTGCTCTTGTTTTTAGCCCAAATCGTATCAGTTCGGCTACGCGGTGAAAGATTACGCATCAGGTAATGACTACAACCGTCATGAAACCAGTGACGGAAACACGATCCAGGGGGAATACCGTGTCCAACTACCTGACGGACGCACACAAATTGTCACGTACATCGCCGACTGGAAGAATGGCTATCGCGCCGACGTCAGATACGAGGGTGAAGCGCACTACCCCACTGAGAGCTCGTATAATCCCTCCTCCAACTATGGAGCACCTTCACCTGGGTACGCGGAAGGATCCAGTTATGCATCACACAGGGAGTCGAGCGCGGGTTATGGGACACATTCCAACGATTATGAAGCCGGTCATACTTATGGCGGGGCTTCATCGCCATCCTATGGACCTCCGGGTTATGGTAAATAACATTCCTCTTTCTTCTTGCAACGCCCTCCACATTCATTAAAATTTCGTGAATTTGTCTGTACACACGAAACGGAAAATCCATGAAAAAATTTACAGACGAGATTTCTGATGGATTTTTGTGGACTCTTTTGCATATATATATATATATATATATGCAAGTGTGTAATGTCATAATTAATACATCTCATCACATCCTGAATTTCCTCTCGTATCATGTCGTTACAGACAAGTAATGGTTCATATACATATGTACAATTATGCTTGTATAATTTTTGTTTTATATATGTACTTTTATATTAAACGAGATGAAGAGTTTGTAAATAATGCTGCATACATGTCTGTCAAATCTGAACGTCTATATCATATTTAAAAACAAATATAAAATAAATATGAAACTTCTAAACCAAGAATCCTTCCACCGTCCACAGACATCTGTGTAGTATGAGTGTTTATGTGCGAATCTCATTAATATATATATATATATATATATATATATATATATGATATGCGACTACTATTAGGCATTTTTTTTAAAAAAAAATACGATAAAGGTAACAAACCATTAGAGACGACCGTAGGTTCGCAAAAGAATTAGAAGCACAGCATAAGAAAAGAAATACAGATTGCATCGATATTACATTTGCTGTGAAGCAATTCAACTATTAAATCGTGTGAAGTAACCATTTAACTGTAAATCGTGATTATTAATATTCAAATAAAAACACGAGGGGTGAGAAAGTGACTTTAAGTAGCAACGTGTGTTTAATAGCAACCGAAATAAAGATTCTTGATATAGTAATTTAATCGGGAAAAGTGACAGACCAGTCGTGTTTTCCAGCAACTCAGTTTGTATAACCACATTTTTGAAAGAAGGACGCGCCCCAGTTCACAGAGTTCGACATTCGCCTCTTCTGTGCCTGTTTGTCGGCACTCGCCCACAGAAACGTGAACACATTTAGAGGATGAATCGAACTAAGCGACCAGAAACTGGACAGACCGGTTCGTAAAACTGCATTCTTATTATTTGGCCTGGTCTTCGATAGACTCTTACGCAGGCGAAAGTACATCATTCAAGGATTTCGATTTCTGTCAACAACTGCGTAATACCCTTTTCGAATTCCGGAGGTCCGGACTTCGATACTCAAGTTCTGTTTTACAAATTCAAGACATTCATGGATCAATAACAATATCGATAAAGATAATTTGCTATAGAAGGCTTTAAGTATGCAAAAGTTAAAATTTTCCATTTTCTTAGGTAATTGATTAAATTCGTGCTATTTTAATGTTAAAGCACCATTATTATATTTTTGTTGTTAAAAACATGGAATGCTGAGGTTTTATGATGTCAAAGTTAAAGACTGTTTCTTTCGAAAACTATTTCCGCTAAAGTAGGCCAAAGCCAACATATCCACATTCGAAGGATCGTAAATTAGCAAAAAAATTAATATTTATTGCAGATTAGTTAATTCTTATATCTCAATCAAAGTGAAAATGAAAGTTAAAGGTGGATATGTTATTTGTGACATGCCGATCATTACCAGTTTGTCATTATACACTGATTTCACATGAAGAGACTATAATTGAGATGTAGGCCTAGTGTGCATGGGCGAAATGAGAAATGAATAAAAAGTTTTAGTTTATTAGCCTGAAGAGGAGAGACTACTCGAACGATCTTACAATCATAGATCTATACATTTAAACAAGAGACGCTTGCTTCATTGCCGAAACAATGCTTCATTTTCTCTCATTAAAAAAGAAAAACGTTCACGCCTATGTAACTGGAAACAGTGATCAATTTAATCCTACATTTTAAAGCACAGTGTATGGCTTTTAAAGTGTAACAAGAAAAGCATGTTATATGTGTAAGACGTGACCTATCATTAAGTTCTTTCTTTAACATATACACACTGCTTTAAAGATGAGAGTAAAGTTTCTTTACAAGCAATGATATGCTAAGATATCAGATAAGATGTGGATAAAGCGGAAAGCAGATTAAAAGATGTACTTCAGGTACGTTTTGTTTAAACATTATTAAACGATTCGGACAAGGTCACGCGTTATTTTTCCTTTCGATCGAAATCCAGATATTCCTCTTGCTCATGCAGTTATCACCGAATTAAATTGCGTTATTCAGAAAATTTCACCAGTTTTCACAGCCAATGAAATTCCAATCCGGTTCATGTTTGTGCATGCTATACATTCACGAAAAGTACATATGAACACTAAAGTTCTATATTATTTATAGATGTCTATAGTTTTTGTTCAGAGCTGCCAACATCTGTTCCTAAGCAAACAAAAATTCTTTTTATTTCCTTACGTTTGCTCTTATTTATCATCGCTCTAAACCTCGCATGCTATGAAAAGTGTCCCATGCCTTTGTGCCCCCCCCCCCTAAAAAAAAACAAGCAAACTGAATCATTCAATGCTCAATAGCGAGAAAAAAATACAGCGTACGGGGCCCAAATGTCTAATTTTCAGAAACGTGAGATATTTTTAAAGCTGACAATCAGCCATACAGCAAGAGGAACATGATCTTCACTATAGGCCTAATCATTAATTATTTTGTTCCCATAGCCGGAAATAGGCTTCTAATCTTGTTTTGTGGTTGATCACAACAAGAATTCTTCTGATTGATTACCAAATAAAATAAAATGTAAGTAACTAAACTGACTACATCCCGCTGTCCTCTGTCTTAAGTTGAAAGGCAAGTAGTATACTTCAATCACAATATCACGTCTCTGTAATGAACCCCTTTAGACCCAACAAGCAATGTGCCCGCTTGCTGAGTTCTGAGCTCGGGATAATGCTCTACAATTTACATACTGACCCATAGTAACGTATTCTTGTCCGCCGATCCCATCCAAAGTAAGTCAATAACCTCAACAACATAAGAAGTCTCCAAATTAGGAAGTTTCTCATCACGTAATTTTCTTCGTTATCCAATAACTTCCTCCTTTTAACATCTAATCTCGCCAGTACCATGTTCTTCAACATAATCGATGTTGTCTCAAAAGAAGTCTCACTGAAAACTTTACCTATCGAAACAAAACATGGGTTGGGATAAACACGTTTCTAGATGCACTACGGGCCTCACCACAAGATTATTAGCACTGCTGAGTGAATTAATTACACTGCAGTAGGACTGTGGCTACTAGACAGCAAGAGGATCTAACAAATTACAGTGTGTACAAGACTGGCAGAGGTTACTCACAGTCTCTTTGCAAGGTTTTACAGTGCGTGGATCTACTCTAACAAGCTGTTACCTTTATACTTTCTCCCTTCTGTGTAACGATCAGTGCTCAATAAAAGGCAGGTACAGGCCATCAAGATAGCGCGCAGAGAGGCCATGATTCCTGGAGAGGCTGGAGTGACTGCAAGGACGAAGCACCATCTGCCCAGCAGAGTCACACCCTGAACCACGGGTGTGCATACTAAATAATACGGTGCACCTGCGTATTTGACTAAAGTGAGGTATCTTCGTGTGTTATGTCACTATTGCAGAAACACCGTTATCGTCTTTTCTGGATTATGTGCTGAGATTTGAAGTTCTATAATGTCACCGATGCACCATTCTTCTCGGTGATTAAGATTTCCAACAGCGTTTCTTTGAAATGAATTATTCTAAAATACTAAATCTTGTTTTCACTTCCCATACTCCTATGTTTATTGAGACCTCAGATTTTGAAATCCTGAGGCAGAACGGTAAAACTAGGTTAACGACCACCTCCTCTCGAATCTCAGAGCGTAAGATGCGTCCCGCCCGACTGGAGCATGCCAAATCTTGTATTTATCCTTCGGCACTCCACACAGACGCCCATGAATCATTCAGCCCTCCCCCCCTCGAAGCGCATCTGTGTCTCTCTCCCTCTGCAGCCACACGATATTTTCTTATCTTTCCAAAATTGGAGCACATCCGGGTAGCGAACTTTCAAGACCTGAGTTCATTCTACACTTCTATTTATAGAAGACGCATACGAAAGATGTAACAATTTTAAATGTTGCAATGATGGCAGTTTGGACCACGAAAGATGGCCAACAAATTTGACATATAGTAACTATTTAATTATGATAATAATCATAACGATTATAATAATTATAATAATAACAATGTTATTTTTTCGCTTTTTTTTCATAGGTAAGGCGTCTGGCCTGTTTCGATACGTAACCGAGTGTGAAAGTGTAAATCCTTTAGATATTTCTTGGATACTCCTTGTACTGCACGGGAGGGGGTCATCCCATCACGCACATCACAAGGTCTCCAGTTACACAAAACAACATGACGCAAAAGCGGATGTAATCCCATTTCACAGCGGGATTCCATCTCGCGGTCTCGGTATTAGAGAGATCTAAAACATTACTTGGTCACAACTCTGCAATTATAATTTTATTTAAAAGGAGAGTCCTTCTTGAGAAGCTGAAAGCCAGTCAGATGGTTTATTTCATGTTTTCAAAATTTAATCCATTGAAGCACAAAGCCCATGTAAACATTATTCAAAAATTCAGTCCGTACTTCAAAGAAAACAAGGCGTCTCAATTACAAACAACTTGTTTATGCTTTTTAGAAGAATACTGGTGTTTTCCGATGTTGGTATTCTGGGCTGTAACGCCGTGTGGACTCATAGGTGCATACTGACGCTTCGGAGAATAGCCCTGAAGATGGATACATTATTTATTGTTGAGTCATAATAAAGTTAGTTCATGCAGCTTGTCGTATTCTTGGTCAGACTTGTCCATTTGTTAGAAACTGCATCTCTCGTTTCAGTCAAAAGCGTTCAATAAAAACTGTAAAAAGACGAAGAAACTGACTTGTATCTGCAGTAAATGTGTGCGTTACTGCCATACAGATTTTCACTTTTGCATTTAAATTTTCACGAAATGCGCTAACAACCTTTATCGTTGATACACACCGTCCTCATAAAATTTAAACTTTTTACATGCCCACTTACATAGGTTAGATTTTAATCATACACCATTGCAACATTTAAGAGGCAGAGAACTGTGTCTGAGGTTGCTCAAATAAATAATAAACTGACGCCATGTTATTGCTACCGAATAAACTGTGTAAAAACACGGGCTGCTGTATTCATAAAACTTACACAATTTGTTTTGTTCTTGTAGATGCTGTCATGATAAGGGTTGTGCCAGCATGTGGTTTGTAGTTCAGCCTACAATAAATCAGAACGACCACCAGAACTGCAGGTCACGTAACCATCAGCGCAATTGCAGAGGGCACATTAGGGATTTATGTATCTGAAATCGATAAATTGCTCACTGTTTTGCAAGAGGTCACGACGAAGCGCCTCTTAATAACACTTCATTATTGCTAACATCACGTTAGTTGCAATGTGCCAAGTTTGGTTGCATTCAGTCATCCAGTCGACGACGAAATTAATGTTTCTCTTAACGTAGTTTGCGGGCTAATATTGTCTACAAGGAAAATTCAGACTTAAGTTTCTAAGCTTTTGGAATTTCACGCTTAGATGCTTCCATGTCTCATAAAATATACAAGGAGAAACACTCCCTTCCAGCACTAATCGTGATCTGTATTAATTATCATGTAATAAATTCTGCATATCTGGTCACAGGCTTTAGAATACGCTGGCAAATGACTGTTGAGAACAGCAGACTTACAACATAAGTTTTCAAAAGACTCTGTCCTGAGCCAGCTTAATACATTTCACACCATTACAATCACTTAAGATAATTTTATTTATGAATATGACTGTCTTCTATGTTGTTGCGCCGTGTAGTCTGGTAGTGTACCAAACTACACGGCGCAACAACCCAGAAGACGGCCATCTTCAGACTCACGGCCGTGAGAATCTTAAAACCCAATTTTATTTATAGTGTAATTAAGTTTTATATCTTAAGTTATGTAAATATACAACCGCACAGTCACTAAGCATATGGAACAGCTGAGAGTTTTGTTGCTTATCTGCAACGACAGCATTATGACTACGGCTAAGAAGCCAGAACAGACTTCCACTAAGTCATGGAGGACAGAAGAATAATACAATTATCAATTTTCACAGCGCGTTTCACGAGTTTATCTGCAATGTTTCATCCATAATAGTATACGAATTAAAATCTTATGGACTGTTGCCATATTCTACGTTTAAGGTAGAAAAAACCTTTAAGAAATCTGACACTTTTACGTACATAACAAGTTTTCTGCTTTCAGAAAACCGATCTGTTTCAAATGGTAAATGCAGACCCACGTACAAAACAGCATTATTAACAGGATCTTGTTTTTATGATAAACAACAGTAGTTCAGCGAAATAGTGAGTCGTAGAATGTTACTACTTCTAAGTAAGGGCGGATCTTTGTTATTTAAAATCCATCATTATATCACCCTTCATGAAACAAAAAGTGATTCGCTGATTGTGTTCTGACTGAGTGAGATTCTGGAACACTTAAATCACAGACAAACATTCTGAAACAGATGCTCTTTTTAAATCACTCTGAAGCACTGCTCAGTTCAGCTACCTCAGTTTCCTGGGTTTTTTTAGGAAATTAAATTCCTTAATACGAATAAGTTAAGTTAAAATCCCAGAACTGGGAATGACAGTCTTAGGAGACCTATCACCAGTATGTCTTCCTACAGGGCTGAAGACGACAAAGAAATACTGAGATCATTCGTGATTCGTTGACTGACTGTGAACGCTGTAGGATTTTAGGTTTCCATGGCGATAGAAATATAAATTATAGACGGTGGTCTTCGTGGTTTTGAGGTATTGCGTCTTAGATTATTTCGGTTTTATGGCAAAGTTTCGGAGAAATATATCGCCTGCATCTTCACGATAATCAGAAACGTCGGTAACCACCTGCAATATATTACCTCATCAGAACCCAGAAAACCACGATCCACGAAACAGTGCTGTGTATCTTCAACTGTAATCTGGGTTAAAAGCAGAATCCACTCTGTTCGAGACCGGTGCATGCAACAATTTAGGCCTAAGTAAAACATTTTTTTTGTAACTTTCACTCCCTCAAAGCTATTATTATTTCACTGCTTTCCTCTTGCATACGAAGTTAAAAATATTTATTAAATTTAAACTTGTGCGAAACGCGAAAAGTAAAGATTCCTTGGCATTTCGACCAAAGCAGGATTTACTAAATGCATTATGAATTAAAATTCACACAAATATTTTGCAATGACTTGCTTCCTCAAAAAAGAGGGTTATCTACCCACTTCTACCGGAAGATGCTAGTTCACAAAAGTGGTTATTATCTGTATGGAGCTGATCACATCTGCGATAAAATAATCTATTCAAATGCGCCAGCGACTCATAATCTCATAAATGAGATGCAGTTACCAAACAAGAATATTTACCATCCAGTTTTAAGACATTAACTACAGACCAAAACTTCACATACTTCTTTCTTATCATGAGGCTGGATTATCCACGATTTCATGTAACAAACATGGATAACTAGAATCGCTCATTACAAGTAAACTACGATCGGTTAGGACAAATATTAAAGGGGAGAGATATTTATGATGCTCGTATTGGTGGAGCTAGAGAAGAAAAAATAACGTATGCATGAACCCCAGAAATAGCGATTATTATTAATTTTTCTTGAGGTTATCATAAGCAACATAATTTCTGACGCTAGTATTAAGAGGCGATTCGGCGTCTTAGGGTGCCTAAGGCGGTTGAATCCAACGATTAACTAGTTTCACTATTAAAGGCTGCTCTGAGACACAAAGGGTTTTCCCCTTCTAAGAAAAAAATGGCTGTTGTGTTTATTTCCAAGAAAGCTAAAGGTACAATTTGGCTGCACGCGACAGAGACAAGCGACCGAGGCAGGCGACAGAATTGCGAGACCGAGACTGGTCGCTTCCTGTCTGCTCTCTGTACAATCGTATGAAGTACAATTACGAGCGCGAGACAAAGCACAGGAGACCGCTCTCGGACCAGTAGTGTCTTGCGACGGGCTCAGGCAGCACGTGTGTTGTTGAGTAAAATAATGGCAGAAATTAAATTTACTGGTGACCAAGATGAGCAATTGGTAGAATTAGTAGCAGAAAACCGACCACTGACCACCGACAGAAAGATCCTTCTTCTATGTGCACGTATGTCTCAACAAAACAAAAAAAACAAACACTTTGCCGCATGTCTCGGTCGTCACCTCAAAAGTGTGTGGCGACAAGCTGCGATGTGTCCGTCTCCCGTCTCGGTCGCTTGTCTCTGTCGCGTGCAGCCAAATTGTACCTTAAGAGTTGTTTGTTGAAAACTTGTAGGCCTCCTTCAGTTTTATATAACGTTTCTACAGTTTATAAAAAATATTACTTATGATTAAATTATCTACTTATATCAAAGTTTCACTCTTAACAACACAGATTTATTAAGTCGAAATACGCCATGAAAAATTACTTAACATTGTTGTTTGCTTACAAGTGCATATCTACTTCATCAGATCATGAGCGGTTAGGTTTACCGGATGCAAAAGAATAAGTGTTTCCCCTTTTGACACCTAAAGACAATGGAATATGATAATAACAACTATCAACTTAAAACAAGTAACGTCCAAAGCAAGGGAACTTTAAGCTATTTGTTATCAATGCCATCTGCTAATGCTTTCGCTCTGTAAAGATGTGGCAATAGAGAGAGGAAACTTATTGGGGAAGATGCTCTGGTTTTATTCGTGACCTCTCACCTATTCGTTCAATATACCACACCTCACCTTTCGCTGAATTTTGCTACACTTGCTATGGATTCCATCCCCTCTACATTCCATCTAGCATCCAATGCTAAAGCCCTCCTTGAAAAATACTTTACCCTCTCTTCCTGTAGCGTCACTTAGAATGTCCTCTTCCATTCATTTTGTTTGTAAACGCATTTTACTAGAAGGCTATTCCTAAAATAAAACTTAGGAAATCAGCAATTCCTGACAAGTATAAAAGCTTTATAATTCTCTGCACAATTCATCAGACAGGCACACACATTCAAAGTGCAAACAACAAGGACTTGAGAAGGGATCATTCAAGTCAAACTAAGGTTTCCAGTAACAAACGTAACACTGTGGAAAAACCTTCTTCAACGATGGCTCATAGCAAGGTACACACGTAAATAAATGAGCCAGCGTAAAATTTGTTTTTTAGCTACTTGCTGTCATAAAATGCAAGCAAATAATAAAATTTTGAGTGGCAAAGAATTTCTTAAATAATTACAACAACAGTTCTCTATTCATTGTAACTGTAATTGTAAAATTGTAAAATTAAGGCTGTGAAGATCGTCCTGTGGTGAAGAAAGTGCAGTTTTGTTTCAAAACACGGCATTTGTGAAGAACTAACTTCCTTTCTCGAAAGCTTTCACTGTCCTCAAGAAGAAACAATGCAGAATTCTCGGTTCACTGGAATAATGCGCCTCCTGTCTGAATGTGTAACAACTACTGCATTTCATTAAATTTCTCACGAAAATACTTCACAATAACAGACTCTGTACTCACTAAAGTGGTTAATTTGAGTTGTTTTCTCTCTTTATTTCAGATAACATATGCTGTTTTTTTGGTGGCAGTTATTACTGCTGTTGACATGGTCTGTGCGGGACAACTTGGAGGACCAAGTTTCGGGGGTGGAGGATATAGTGGCAGGCCATCGTCCTCATATGGCGCACCGGGTTTCGGTGGTTACAGCGGAGGTGGTGGCAGTTTTGGGGGCGGCGCCGGAGGTTATGACGGAGGACAGGTGTGGTGTAAAACACAAACTTCCAATTTTATGTTACTAAGAGGGCCTAGTTAATCAATGCACAGCTTTCAGACAGCTACCAAACTAATTGCATGGATCAAAGTTGTTTTAGAAAAGTTCAAATTCCACTGCCCTTTAAAACCTTCCTCATGAGAAGGAATTTAGCTTGTACATGCAGTTCTATAATTTCCCACAAAACCTTGATTGACGCACAAGGAGTTAACATTGACGATGATAAGATAAGGTGCACAAATCTTCCGTTCAGTTCTGATCAATCGTCATAAAAACTCGTTCAAAGTAGAATGGATTAGGAGTAACGCTACAGACAATTTATCCTGGAGTACGGCTTAAGATATTCCATTCCCGGCTGAGTTACCAGCTATTCTGATCGGGGATTTCGTTGTTTTCATCAGTCTCTCCAGGGCAAATCCCAGAGTAATAATTTAAATCTTGTCACCGCCACGTTCTTTCAAATCCTTGCCTGTCTCATTCGAATTTATACGCCTCTACAATTTCGGCAGGTAAGGCAACTTTTATCAATAACTTTAACAAGTTTATAATGATAATTAAACTGTTTAGTGAACACATTAATAACTGCGAAGATTTCTGTCTTCTGGGTTCTTGCGCTGTGTAGTATGAATCGCCCTGATGACGGAGGCAGTATGACCTCAGAAACGCTGGTAAACATCGACCAGACTACACAGCGCAACAACCCAGAAGACAGAAATCGTCATACTCACCGCTGTGAAAATCTCAAATCTTACATTAATAACTGCCATTGTATAACATGTGACTACGTTTCTGCTTCGCACAGCCAACGCCATATAACTTTCAGTACGCGGTAAGAGACGCTGCTAGTGGCAACGACTATAAGCAACAGGAGAGCAGCGACGGACGAACTGTGCAGGGCGAATACCGCGTGCTGCTACCCGACGGTCGCAATCAGATAGTCAAGTACAGAGCTGATGACGCCACCGGCTTCAACGCCGACGTCCAGTACGAAGGTCAGGCATCGTTTCCATCGGGAGGCGGTGGCTTCGGAGGCGGCCACGGAGCTTTTGGTGGACGTGGTGGTGGTGGTGGTGGTTCAAATGCGTACCTTCCACCCGGGTACAAGAAATAGCCATGCCTTCGTAATCGATCACTGCTTAATGCAAACTACATTATAGGCCTATAAATAAGCTTCCAATACGACAAGGTAATTGAGTTGATTAACTTAACAAAGCGATACTTTGTAAAAACGGGTACAATGGTCAGATAAAGCTATGCCTTCTCTTATAGATGAAAATAATGTGATCTCTGGTAACTTAACTTTTACGTTTACGTTACATTGCGTGGCTGATATCGTTCATAAACCTTAACTTTAATTGTTTTATTTCTTAGCGTAGAAGTCAAATTATTAATAATGTGATATATCGTTTAATGAGCGTGTGTGTAATAGACAGAGTTGAAAGCATGTATGTTATAATAATATATACATATTATAAATCTTGTATTGCCTAATATGTGAAAATAAAAAAAAATATCATCAGCTACAAACCTAAAAACGTATTCACTTGTATTATTATGTTTTGAGACCGATGTTTGTACTCATACGTTCACAACGAAAAGCTTATATATTTCTGTCTCCACTCATATTTTTCCTTCCATATATAAATAATACGAACATGGCAGCCGTGTGAATTTCTGACATGAAAACGAAATTTGCGTCACTAATTAAAGTAAATGAAATGTGTTGTCGCATCTTTGTTAACTATAAAGCCATCACTGCTATTTCGTTTTATATAAATAGATAATCTTTGAGTTTGACATGAGATGATTTGTCTGAAGATATGTCATATACTTCACATTTTTATAAAACATTCTTTTAAATTATTAAACTTACAAACATTGACGTGGCACGAAAATTTGGACTTGTGTGATAAACGTGATGTAGTGGGAATTTGTAACAATGAAAGCGTGTACATAATTGGGTTACAAAATTGCACAGTATTTCGTGTTGGTCTTCTACGCAGATTGAAATATCCCAAGGAAAGCAAGCATCACAGTTCTTTTACTGTAATCTCCTGTTTGTAAACCTACTTCGCGATAGCCTATGAACACTATTATCACCATCTTCTATTGTTCCTAAACTTGTTTCTGGTCTAATGATCACCCATGTTTGGCTTTCGTTTTCGAGGTGCTGTTTCCGCCTAATTCTACATCTATATGAACCGATTTTTTTTTATTTAAATAGCTATCATTACCATCACTTGTCTTCATGTAACTCATGGCCACTTAAACCATGTCAAAACCTGTATCTGCTTGTTTGTAATCTTGTGCAATCAATTGTTTCCAATGCCACATTTTCAAACCCGGTCAGCAGAGAATAAACCATGCACATAACTTTCGCGTTTTCTTTATAATCTCACTGCAGAACTCCGGAAGTGAGGTCATATTCTGTATCATAATTAAAGTGAAGAAACAGAGTTTAACCTCAGTACATGATTATCGAAACTTCCTCTGCAAATCAAACAAAAGAGAAATTCAATCAGCATGAAAATAATTATAAGCAATTACCTATGAAAGCGTAAGATTCATGGGAAAGAGACTGAGAAATATTTAGTGAGTTACACTTCACATATGAGCAGAGACGTATGCAAGTTTCATCTCAGGTACCTATTGCCTATCTTAGACAGAGTTAGAATAGTTCAAAATATTTCAGTAACAATTCTCAGTATAAAATTTCATGAAAATACGTTCAGCAGTTTTCGAGTCGTTACATGCAACTAAACGGAAAGGTAAACATTGGGAAGATAAAGCACATTTTGAAACTTCTCGTTGCCAAAGCGCCCAGAGAGAGAACGTGCATCCGTTCTTAGAGCGATATTCGACCTTGGACCTGTCAAATACGGAGAATTCCAGAGGACCAAGGCTTTTTGTGGCTTTTTAAAAATTATGTAAAAAATATACTAATGAAACAGTGACGTGTCTTGGGGCAAGGTAAATTATATAATTTCTCATGGTTACAGTTCTGGCTTTGGAAAGTAAATTAAACATAGTTCTGAAATATGACACATATTTATAAACTTACAGCCAATTCTTTTTTAAGATTTCAAACGCAGACAATAAATTGCACACTTTGACGAAATATCTTTATTTTTGTTTTTAGATTTAAACACATCAAGCAAGCTCAATTAAAGCATGAACTACCTCTGTGCGTTGAGTTGAATATCTTCATTCACAGTGGCGGCTAGTGAGATACATCAATGTTGGGGCACTATTACAACTAAACTAATAATAACATTTCCAACTTCAGTGGAGTTTAATATCGTCAAATGCAAGTATCAAAGATTCCAGCGTCGATGTGACCGACGCTGATATTAAGAATTTTAAGTAATTTCAACTACTCGTATCTGCTGTTAGCATTTGTATCAGAATTCCTACCCTGGAACATTTATGAATATTAATATGGATCTTAATTAAATTTGAAGAGTACCAAAACACATATTTTTACTGGATAAAAATATGTAAAATGCGTAGCCCCTTCCCACTACCCGCGCCAAAAAACCAGCCTCTCAGCGAGGGCATTTCTTCGTTAGCGGGGTAGCATAACAACAAGGCTGAAACTGAAAGTGTATTCTGTGTCGCGTTTTGGGCACCGTAAACCTCGAATTAGAGACATTATGTGAATGGTTTATCAGGTCATCTATATACTATATAGACGCCAATGTCTAAGAGTGTATACTGTCTACATACGCGAACTATGAGAATATTTCAGTTTGCATTGTGTCGCCACAGAGTGACTGCTGCTTAAACTAAGAGAACTTTCATTTATTGCTGAAAACTGCTACCATTGGAAGTTATGCGAACTACTTCATAAAAACAGGCCAGTATGTAATGCATTTCTTAACCTAGATACAACAACAGGCGATTCAATAAACTGTGTTCGGAAACCAAAAGTGAATAAAGCCTGAAAGATTTTACAAGAGAAATCTCCCTGATGACGGAGTCAGTATAACCTCTGAAACGTTGGTAAACATCTACCAGACTATACAGCGCAACAACTCAGAAGACAGAAATCTTCATACTTATCGCCCCGATGATGGAGGCAGTATGACCTCCGAAACGTTGGTTAACATCGACTAGACTACACAGCGCAACAACTCAGAAGACAGAAATCTTCATACTTATCGCCCCGATGATGGAGGCAGTATGACCTCCGAAACGTTGGTTAACATCGACTAGACTACACAGCGCAACAACTCAGAAGACAGAAATCTTCATACTTATCGCCCCGATGATGGAGGCAGTATGACCTCCGAAACGTTGGTTAACATCGACTAGACTACACAGCGCAACAACTCAGAAGACAGAAATCTTCATACTTATCGCCCCGATGATGGAGGCAGTATGACCTCCGAAACGTTGGTTAACATCGACTAGACTACACAGCGCAACAACTCAGAAGACAGAAATCTTCATACTTATCGCCCCGATGATGGAGGCAGTATGACCTCCGAAACGTTGGTTAACATCGACTAGACTACACAGCGCAACAACTCAGAAGACAGAAATCTTCATACTTATCGCCCCGATGATGGAGGCAGTATGACCTCCGAAACGTTGGTTAACATCGACTAGACTACACAGCGCAACAACTCAGAAGACAGAAATCTTCATACTTATCGCCCCGATGATGGAGGCAGTATGACCTCCGAAACGTTGGTTAACATCGACTAGACTACACAGCGCAACAACTCAGAAGACAGAAATCTTCATACTTATCGCCCCGATGATGGAGGCAGTATGACCTCCGAAACGTTGGTTAACATCGACTAGACTACACAGCGCAACAACTCAGAAGACAGAAATCTTCATACTCTGATGATGGAGGCAGTAACCCAGAAGACAGAAATCTTCATACTCACCGCTGCGAAAACCTCAAATTATACATTCCTTATTATTTTAGATGTATTTTGGATAACACATTATAGCCACTGATGTAATGACACCGATCTCCATGTTAAATTACACAGACAGAGCTTTAACACACAACGGTCCAATGAGTTGCCCTGAGGACATGATAATTAAATTCTAAAGGGCCCTGACATGAAATACGCAATGTATACTTAAGTATGGTTCATCTTTTTGAGTTCTATTATATATCTAACAAAACTGCGGTTTCACAATCAGCTCAGAATTATTTGTATCACAATTCATATATTAGGAAGAATTAATCATAACCAACAACCGCATTTAAAAATTTCATTAATAATTTCATAATCACTTTCTACTGAACTAGATTTAGAAGATAACGAATCTGAAGTTAATTTTTACTTATAAAATGTTTCATAATTATAAACTTGGATACGTATAAGTTTTATTTATATTAATATTTAATTAAATTTGACTGTATGAATCTCGTAGTAATAGTGTTATATGCACAGGATGTGACTTGAATGGAAGATACAAGAAAAGAATAGAGGAACTGCAGAATCACGCGGCGAAAACCACGATGCCAGAACAAACGCTTCAGTCGTATTAACGCTGTTGCGTAAATTCTTGGGCGTGATCATGCAGAAAATAGCATTCTTCGCAAATTTACTGGGGAGAAAATACATCAAACTCATCCAAGAAGAAATATGTAACGTACTCCTATTTGCGTGAAAAGGAAAGTTTCTATGACAGTGCAGATCACATGCTCTGGAACGTAAGAGGAGAAACTGGTGAGAACCAACGGTAAGAGCATTTCAAAACTGAATACATCTAATTCTATAAACGTACTTCAGCACGGATATTTATACACACGTAATTAACAATAAGCTTATTTCATGTTCTTCTCAAGTTTTATGAGAGTGGCTGATTCATTACTGCAGTAATAATGTTGTACCTATCGGCATGACAACAAATCGTTCGTGTTTGTTTCATTGTTTGTTTGTGGACTTAGACGAGCGTAAGCTATTTGCGCTTATATATCGTCGAAGGAAAATAAAATCCGACAATGTCACAAAACCGGTATACTTCACCTGCGGGAAAATGTGCATAGAGCGTTGTAGTTTATTGAAAATAAAAGTCAAAATAACAATAGGATCATAAATATGAAAACGGGAAAATTCAAATCATATAATACAATACATCTTCGACAATCGGAAAGTCTTTATATGACTGCAGTATAAGCTTGTTTAAATTTATCACTGAACCCATGAGAAAAGTTTAACTCTTAGGTTCTGTAAGAACACTGTATCAACGAGAAAGTAATCAGAAATAGGTTATTGTTAAGCACTAATGACTCTGTATTTCGAAGAATTAAATAAATAGTCTTTCTGCTCTTGACTTATGGTAGAAAAGGGTAAGTTGGCCACGTAAAGCAATAATTAATATAATAATAAGCTGTAATTAATAAAATATACAATTATTATGCAACTTAATAATTACTTCAACTAATAATAATTCAATTCAAGGTAGAAAGTGAATACAATAAAACCATGTAAACGACGGTTTGCAACAAATTCTACGACGCGCTATCCCAATCTGCCATCATAGAGCAGAAGTTCTTACTTAGACACACT